TCCACCCTGGGGTGTGAATTCTTGCTTTCTGTCTCTCTGTCTCTGTCTGTCTGGCGAGTGCACACGCCCTTTAGCAAAAATCTCTACAAAAAAAAAAAAAAGGATCTATGTGTTTATCCTCAGTATAAAAAGAGTTAAACTAGCTTGCTCCCCAGCCCACCTTTGGGGAAGAATGATGAAAGATAATGTTTATGGGGTGCTATCGCAAGAAAAGTGATGTAGACTCGATCTCTGTATGGTTTTCAGAAAGCAAAAGGGATGCAATGAAAAGCCTACATTGTCTTGACAATAGTTTTGGTGATGTGACTGTCAGAACGCCCAAAAAATTCCTGAGATAGGTAAGATAGTAAATGTACAAGGGCAGGGACTAGGTTCTCAATAAATGTGGGTAGATTACCCTAAAAAAATGTGTTTATCACTACATGAAATGTCACGCTATTGTGATGTAGGTTTGCATTTTGGATGTATCTCTCTTCCCTTCTCTATACAGATATTTACTGCCACTTACACTTTTAATGGCAACCTTCCCAAAGCAGTCTTTGCAAAAGTTGATAATATTCCACGTATTTTCTTTTGTGATGGTCCTAATATACTGAACATGCCAGAATTATTTCTAAAATAAGAAGATGTTCTTACTAAGTAAAGGCCTAAGGGATTCCTCTATATAAGAAGTTTTATTTTTTTAATTAAATTTGCTGGAGGACACATGAGCTCACCAGAGAAAGACAGAAAGAGAGAAAGCAAGTGAGAAAGTGTGAAAGCCCATGGGGATGACTATGCTGCAATCCCAGCTCCTCCATTTCTCGTCAAGATTTTGGGCTTGGGAACCAGCAGTTAGTGTAATGGCTATGTCGCTGGACTCCCACGTAGTCGGCCACGGTTCGCGTCCTGGACCCGGTGGCTTAAAACTCATGCCGGGCACGTGTGCGTGCGTGCCCAAGATCCCGAGAGGAGAATGGAGAAGAAGGGATTGTGGCGTGACCATCCCCTCTGGGGGGTGATTTCTCTCTTTCTGTCTCTATGTCTCTCTCTGTCTATCTGGTGAGCGCACGCGCCCTATAGCAAAAACCTCTCCAAAAAAAAAAAAAAAAGATTTTGAGCACATACGCAAATGCACCAGCATGTTTCTCAAGCAACATGAACCAGAACTCCAACCACATAGTTGGCCATGTGGGCTCCAGCCACCTTTACCACCATGCCACCAGCTGACCCACAGCATTTAATAATAAAAATTACTATTCATCAATTAAAATTTTTAAAACAGGTAAGAAAAAAGTCTTTTGATGAAAAAAAAATTCACACCCCTAGTCCCCGAGTAACAAAAATATAGGTAATAACACAAAACTCAAGTATGCTGTAACAACTATTCTAAAATGGATGCTATTCTCAGTTTTAATACACTGGAAAGAAGAAATGAAGCATTAATCGGCTCTTTCAGCTCTCATCCAACTTCTGTTCATAGCAGCTACAGTCAGGTTTTCTGCAGCTACACAGTTATTTTCAAGCTGGGAATAAATATATCCTTGGTGTTCTGAGAACAATTATCCAGGTACAACTAGAATAAAAGAATTTGGAGTTAGACAACATCTTAAAGGCTATCTAGTTTACCCTCCCTATATTCAAAAACAAGGAAACTAAGACTCAAAGCAATTAAGTACCTGGCTCTCTCAAATCATGCAATTCACACAGCTAGTTAATGGACAATCAAGATCTAGAAGCAAGTTTTCCCATTGCTACTAATGCGAATCAACTCTGAAGGTCAGAACAACTGACTCTTCTGAAATGGAATGGGCTTTTTGGAAATTTACCAGTTGGGTGATCTTGAACAACCTCTACAAGTACTTTCCCCTTCTGTAAAATGTAGAGAATACCTACTCTAACAAGGTTGTGAGATTATGTCTGGCTTGTAAAATGCTTAGTGCATTGATTAAAAAATAATAAGCATATGAAAACAGGTAGTTGTTAGTTTTACTTCCACCCTGAAAACATGGCTGCTTCTTCTATTTGAGAAGAATATGAAATCAGTTTATTAACACAATGGACAGGGTCCTATCCACCAGAACTTCTCCAGCCCAAACACATTCTATAGACAGGAGAAAACCCCACCCAACAACCTATGTCATCCCATCTAAAATTTACCCCTTACACTGTTACGAAAAACAAAATGTCAATTGCTGCCAAATATCTTCTGCCACAAGTTGTACGTTAAATTTGTCAATCACAAATTCGGGGGGAGGGGCTGGCTCCACCCAAAACATGAGAAAAAGATGGAAAAACAAGGGGAAGATAAGGTCACACACCTGAACTGGAAGTCTGGCGCTTGTTCTCGCACATTTAGCTGTGGCTGGGGAGGGGGGGGGGAGAAAGCAAGACGCTTTCCCTCAGCACCATAAAGCAAGAATAATGGCTACTACTTCAGCAAGATACAATTCTTAAGGCTTCTCAACACAATGGAGAATAATCCATTTCCTTTTCCTAGTAAATTAATAAGCACACGGGCAAAAACGGAGCACCTTTCTGGTAAAACTAAGGATCAAGCTGTATCGGAGCTGAACTGTACCCTGGGATCATATAAATATACAAAAGTCCTATGAAATAGCGAGACAAAATGATGGGGAATATCACCTTGAAATCGACAAGGAGGGAATCAGAATGCCATGCCAAAGGCGTCTCCATTGATAAAGTCCCGAACCTCCATTCACATGACACGGCCAAACCCACCTCCCTCTAAGGAAATTAACAGGAATCACAGCAGCAACCAACCTCAGCAAACGGCATCGACCAGATCGACCCCTACTCAAATGGCGCTAAGCACCGCCGATCCAAGCCCCTCCCTGGAGCTGCCAAGTCCAGCGCTGACTCCAGGCTACCTCACTTCCTCTCCATCCTCCCTCCCATACTCGACGCCCAGCAGTCCTTGCCAACTCTCGCCACTAACGGAGAAGGCAGGAACAAGATAGACTTGCTACACTTTGTCCAGGGAGTAACAGGGTCACACATACCCGTCCCTATTACGATCACATCAAACTCCGAAGGGAGATTATCCGCCATCTTGACAGGAAACGTGTCATGTGACTATTGCTTGTGGAAATGAGATCAAGTTAGACATTCCCTCGGTAGAAGGCGGAAAGGTAAACAGTGCATTCTGGGTATTGTAGTCTTGGGTGGAGGGTGCAGGTAAGCGACTACAGCATTTGATTTGAAATGTTTACGCGAATAAGAAAAGCTCAGTTCATTTTCCAGGCTGGATGTGGTAGCACGTTTAGCCTCAAGGTTTGAGGTAGGAAATAGAAGTAGATCTTTACTCTGCTGGGTAGGATATGGGAGTAATCGGGTACACCTTGACTGTGATGAAGCAAGAATTAGGAGACACGGAATGCCCAGTGAAATTAAAAGGGGGTTGCTGTGTGAACAAAGGAGAGTGCCTTTCCAGCCTGCAAAACCGTTTTCTCTGGTTTGTCTCCGGCACGTCAGCACTTTCGTTTTGGCCCTGGTTTGGGCCCCTGAAGCATGGTTTTACACACCAATACTTTCAAACTATATTTTCTATCTTTTTAGTCTCTGTGTCTCCGCCACGAAAACACACCAAAAACTTTACCCCAGTTTTGCCAGAATAGAACTCTCACAGCGTCCGTGTTTATTCTATGAGTCTCAACAGCCACCCTGACAGCATATATTTGCAAAACTAGCCTTGCTTTACAAGAAGGAAAAGAGAGATGGAAGCATAGCAGATGCTTGATAAGCGTTTGCTGAGTGTGAATCTGATTTTCCACACAAATGAGTCCATACAAGATTCTCCTAAGCTACTGCAGAAATGATTCAGACAAAATGACTTTTATGTGAGAGCAATTGTAGTTGATGGCATACAACTTTAGGTTGTATGCCAAGCAGCTAACATAGCTACTAAACCAGCAGCTAACCGACAAGGAGGGAATCAGAATGCCATGCCAAAGGCGTCTCCATTGATAAAGTCCCGAACCTCCATTCACATGACACGGCCAAACCCACCTCCCTCTAAGGAAATTAACAGGAATCACAGCAGCAACCAACCTCAGCAAACGGCATCGACCAGATCGACCCCTACTCAAATGGCGCTAAGCACCGCCGATCCAAGCCCCTCCCTGGAGCTGCCAAGTCCAGCGCTGACTCCAGGCTACCTCACTTCCTCTCCATCCTCCCTCCCATACTCGACGCCCAGCAGTCCTTGCCAACTCTCGCCACTAACGGAGAAGGCAGGAACAAGATAGACTTGCTACACTTTGTCCAGGGAGTAACAGGGTCACACATACCCGTCCCTATTACGATCACATCAAACTCCGAAGGGAGATTATCCGCCATCTTGACAGGAAACGTGTCATGTGACTATTGCTTGTGGAAATGAGATCAAGTTAGACATTCCCTCGGTAGAAGGCGGAAAGGTAAACAGTGCATTCTGGGTATTGTAGTCTTGGGTGGAGGGTGCAGGTAAGCGACTACAGCATTTGATTTGAAATGTTTACGCGAATAAGAAAAGCTCAGTTCATTTTCCAGGCTGGATGTGGTAGCACGTTTAGCCTCAAGGTTTGAGGTAGGAAATAGAAGTAGATCTTTACTCTGCTGGGTAGGATATGGGAGTAATCGGGTACACCTTGACTGTGATGAAGCAAGAATTAGGAGACACGGAATGCCCAGTGAAATTAAAAGGGGGTTGCTGTGTGAACAAAGGAGAGTGCCTTTCCAGCCTGCAAAACCGTTTTCTCTGGTTTGTCTCCGGCACGTCAGCACTTTCGTTTTGGCCCTGGTTTGGGCCCCTGAAGCATGGTTTTACACACCAATACTTTCAAACTATATTTTCTATCTTTTTAGTCTCTGTGTCTCCGCCACGAAAACACACCAAAAACTTTACCCCAGTTTTGCCAGAATAGAACTCTCACAGCGTCCGTGTTTATTCTATGAGTCTCAACAGCCACCCTGACAGCATATATTTGCAAAACTAGCCTTGCTTTACAAGAAGGAAAAGAGAGATGGAAGCATAGCAGATGCTTGATAAGCGTTTGCTGAGTGTGAATCTGATTTTCCACACAAATGAGTCCATACAAGATTCTCCTAAGCTACTGCAGAAATGATTCAGACAAAATGACTTTTATGTGAGAGCAATTGTAGTTGATGGCATACAACTTTAGGTTGTATGCCAAGCAGCTAACATAGCTACTAACACAGCAGCTAACACAGCTAACATAGCTCTCATAAGTCCTTTCAAGGTCTATCTCCCCCCACCCCCATTATTTAAAATGCTTTTCTGTCTAACAACATAAAGGTAACCCAAAAAAAGGTGAGTGGAGGGAGAGTTGTACATTTTTTATCTTAGAAATTACTTGTGCAATTATGTTACAAGAGGTTCAAAATCAAAAAGAGGATACTCTCGGAGCTGCTTGTGGTTCCCCAGACATTCATTTCCAGTGCTCATTGCCTGTCCTTCAACATGGAACAATTTTCCCCATTCTCTACCCAACATTTATCCCTAAGATTCACCTCTGCTTCCACCACCTCCTCTTTTCATCTCCTACTTTTATTGGGTTAAGTTTCCCTAGATGGTGCCACCAACCTGTCATAACCTGCCATATTGCCCTAAAATTATTTTCATTTATGTAGATTATTAGAGAGTACACATATCTTCACATGTACACACAAAAATACACACCCAAACATACAAGACCATAAATTCTGAGCCCTTCTATGACACTGACCAAATCTTGTTTAGCTTTTTATGCCACCATCCTCCCTTCTCCCCCAGCACCTTAGAACTTCAATAATTGTTTGCTGAACAGAATTTAGTTCCAACTCCCCTAATAGATGCTAAGCACTGTGAGAACAGGAACCCAGTTGTCTTTACCTTTATATCTTCCCACCACAATCATGAGTCTTATTTTGAAAATGTTCAATGTATTTGTTAATTTTGAAAAAAGTTATATGAAAAGTTTTTGCTTGTTTTATAATTATTTTATTTAAACTTTTTAGTCCATTTTCCAATTTGACCAGAGAGGGAGAGAGCAAGAGAGCGCACGAGAGAGAGAGAGAAAGTATGAAAGCAAACCACCAGGTCCAGGACTTGAACCGCAGTCGGCCACATGGGAGTCCAGGGCCCTTAACCACCACACCACCTGCCCGCCCCATGAAAAGGTTTTTAAAATGTATTTTTCTAAGGACATTTTATTTTTGCATTTCTGATGCATTTTGCCAGTAATTAGCAACAGTGTGCTTGTTTCATTCATTTCTTTTATGGATTATTTTGTTTAAAAAAAATTCTTTTGTAATACGATACTGTAATGAATAGTTCATGTAAAAGAGATAACCCTAAGAAGTAAACATATTGTTCAGTAAATCTCTGCCATTTGTCTTGGTCTCAAAGGAAAGTTTTGAGTAATATCAGAAGTGAAATAGATATTATCTGGGAGACTCTTGATACATCAGTGGAAATGAAAATTAATAGATTTCCCAGTGTAAATTCAGGAAGCTTTCCAAATCGTCTCTAACAGTGAGAAGCCATAGAAGAATGGCTAAAAACATGATAAATAAAAGTATTTTTATCTTACATTGAACATATATGAATATACATATGTATGTATGTGTATATATATATATCATATATACATTTTTTTCAATATAGATATCTCTAACTTTCTAGGAATTCAGAAATGTTCTAACAGTTACACTCTGAAACTATAACTCATTGAATCATTTATTCCTCACGTACTCATTGAGCAGCCATTACAAGTAAGGCACTGATTTAGATGCTATGATTACAGCAATGAATAATTACTCGTGCTAATTTTCCAATTTCCCTTGTCAAAAATTTGCAACCCCTTCTTTTCCTCTGAGGATAGAGAGAATAACCCCCAAGAAAGCTAATGTTACCAACCTGTATTTAGCTGCTCTTTTTCAAAAGTTATCATGTGACTCATTCATCCCTCTCTGGGCATGAAAATATTATGTTAAGAAAATGTAATATCTCTGCATAGACTAAATGTTCAAAATACCTTTTCATTCAAATACACTTTTATAGATTTTATGCAAAGTAAAGATGAATATAGGAGTTGAAAATATAGGAGTAAAAAAGCATAAAGCAAAGTAACTGAGCTGCTGTCTATTCTGTTATTCTAAAGACATCTATTCTTTGAGAACTGAAAGCTTTTATTCATATAAATCCCAGTACAATCAGAGATAGATACCTAAAAATTGACTATGCTATTAAATCACCGTGGCATTCATTTTGTACTTAGTAGTTTCTTGCATTGAAAAAGCACAGTTCCCTGAGTATTTACATTGTATTCAGAAGTTTAGTCAACTGTGAGATCTGTTATCTTTTTCTTTAAGAATTATTTTATTTAACTTCATTTATTTATTTACTTATTTATTTTCTTATTTATTATAATTTTACCAGAGAAGAACAGAGTGAGAGGGAGAGAGAGAATGAGAGAGAGATAGAAAGACGGAAAGCAAGAAAGCAAGCCACCAGATTTGGGACTCAAACCACAGTTGGCCATGTGGGAGCCCAGCACCCATAACTACCATGCCACCAGCCAGCCCCCTGACTATTACCTTTTTTACAAATCAATATTTTTTTCCCTTTTTAAAAGAGAGATGTTTTGCTATAGGACACATGCGCTCACTGGAGAGACAGACAGGAAGTGAGAAATCATCCCCCAGGGGAGATGGCCATGCTGCAGTCCCTTCTCCTCCATTCTGCCCTCAGGATTTGGGGCATGCAAGCACATGTGCCTGGTGTGAGATTCAAGCCTCTGAGTCCAGGACTTAAACCGCGGTCAGACATGTGGGTGTCCAGTGATGTAACCATTAAGCCATCTGCTGGTCCCACAAACCAATAATTTAATGGTCTCTATCCCTGGGGCCTTTCGTTTCAGTTCCAGACCCATATATCCAACCTCTTACTCAGCATCTCTTCTGAACTTATCAAATACTGAAGTCTTGATCCTTTGAACACTACTCTCTTCATCCTCTGTTCCCTATTTTAGAAATAATACCACCCACTGCTTAATTATTCAACTAAAATGTACAAGAATCATC